AGCTCGTATCTTAACTGTGTGCTGGATACATTTTGATTGTGACTGTTTTACCGTTTGCTTTCAATTCTCAAATATTATGTGAGCCAGCGTGATCTGCAGCGACACTGTAGGTTGTATCGTGCGCTGTAACTTATTAGCGATGTTTATCTCAAGCTGACTCATGAAGTGAAGGTGTGTTTTCATGACAACAAATGTACTTGCTGTATTTACCCTCGGGTCCTGACGGGGATTTTCCCAGCTGAGTCACTCAATCCATTTTTTTTTTTTTGCCCTTTAGCATTATCAGTTTATGGTTACAGTTGTTAAGGAACATAACTGTAGTAACTTAATACAAATGGTAAACTAGTTCACGTATTCTGCAATGCGTCACCCACGATCTGTTTTACTTACATGTGTAAAGAATAAAGTTTTTTTGTAATCTTTCTGTAAAATCTTCCAGAATACTTGAGGTTTTTGTAGTGCCCAACCCCAGCATGGTTAGAATGGAATGATGGGAAACTTGTTCTGGTTTGGACCACGAAGACCAAAATTTAAAAGAAGTAATGAATTGCTGACTATATCTATCAAACTATACTTCTTACTTTACTGAAAGGGTTGAATTGTTTGGTGAAGTCTTTTGCATTTTGTTGCTAATGACACATTATAGCTGTAGCAGATCGAATGTTTAGGTGTTTCTCTTTGTTTTTCTTTTTTTTCAGCAGAAATATGTTGTATCAGGAACTAATCTCTGATATCAGATGTGGCTTTTTTTAAACCAATAAAGATTATGAAGTGGAACAAAAACAGACGTTTTGTTTGTCACTGAGAGTATGGCCACATGAGGGCGTCAGAGCGTGCATTATTTTTGACAGTATTTCCTCTCTTTCTTTTTCTGCTGGAGTTCCTGCATAATCCTAGCTAAGAATAAGATCATGTGTTTTCACATTTGTTGTTTATTTGTTTAAGTATAATATTGACATAAGCAGCCATTGACAGTAATAATGGGTTTATTTTTTGTGATTTTCGTGACACTTGGATGAACACTACATTCAGGAACAGTCTTTGTGGACAAAAAGCAGCTCTCTTAATAAATGTAACATTTTTGTATTGCTTACAAGATTTGCTTATTTCGTAGAAAAAAAAATGTTGTACTCATAAATATACAATGATTAGTGTATAATTATGTCTTCCAACAAATTGTTCACCACCCTCATAAAAACAGTGGATGAGACTTAGCATTTCCATCTAATCGCGTTTTATGTAACTAGACACCAGCCACATAAGTACTATGCCATAAGTTACTTGTAATCTAAAGATCACAAATAACGCTTTAAAACTCCGTATGACCCTTTAACATTTGTGCGTGTATATTTTCATCATCTCTTTCTCTTTAGGTCTTTTTCCTTCTCCACCACTGCTCTCTTTCCTTCCTCATTTCAACCTCATCCTCTTAATCCTTACCTCAAGCCTCATCTCCAGAACTAAAGTCAGGGCACCAGCACATGAAAACATGCATTATCCTGATATTGGCGCAGGTAATAAAACTTCTTGCCAACTCATTTAGGCATGTGACACTCCCATCTCCAGACAGCTAATAAAAAGGTTGTCTAAACAATAACCACAGCTGGTTATAAGCTAACACTATGCCACCTAATGTTAGGCTCGAGTGTCCTAAAAATCACACTTTCCCTCAAGTTAACAGTTTGATAACATTTACACATATTATGAGAGTTTATTCATTAAGTGCACATTAATGTTATATCCACTTCAGAGAAAGTCTCAGTAACGCTAGTGAATAGCAGCAAAAGTAACATTGCTTGTATCGCTGTCATCAGACAGAAATGAGCTTCACTGACTCATCAACTCCTTTTAGATTCCTTTCAGAATGTTTTACAGCCTCCACCACAATAAATAGGTGTGGACAGTCAGCATACTGACAGCTGAGGTAAACAGCAGACAGACAGCCTACGCTGACCACAGATGAACAGCAGTTGTTTCCCCTACACTGTAGCAAGGATTATGCACTTACATTGCGAAGGGTAAGAAGTTAAAATTCACTTGACTGCAATCTGCAACCTACTGACATCTAGCAGTGGTATTTTACACACTGTATCTTTAAGCCCTAAGATCATGCACAGATGTTCACTAATCATATCAAATAAATCCAAAAGGGAGCAACATAAAACAGATCTAACAGATATCAGACACAAGAAAATCAAAGTAGAGAGAAACTAAAAATAATAACAATTTCATACAAGAAATTGACAGGAAAACACAGCTAACTTACGAAAGGAAGGAGTGATGTAAGCACAGCTAGGGGAAGGTGAGTACACATGGTTGCCAAGAGCCCCCTTCTTGGCAACCAGGTAATTGCTTAGGTAGTGAAAAGACAGAAAACAAAACAAATAGTGTCTAATAGGATATGTGCATTTAACATTAAATGTGACATCTGACTATGCTAAAAGCTATGATTAACGGGAATAGGCACACTCTATATTTTGAATCTAATGTGCTGTGGTCCTACTCCCCCATCTGTAACATTTCCTCCTCTGTTGTCTTCAAATAATGGATTGCTCTTGAGATCACAGTCACCTAGCAATGTGAAGCAAACAACCGGGGATCAACCTCATTAGCTGTCAAGTATGTCTGGACTTATGTCTCCATTAAGGCGAAATTATCGCTGCCAAGACACCGTTATGTAGTCTATGCACCACTTTTTAGCTACCTACTATACTTTGAAGATGAGGTGTGCTGTATGGTGCTTACCTACAGAAAAAAGAAAACCTATGGAAAACACTGAAACAAGACAAAATGACAGTATGCACTGTCGGCTATGTGCTATGTTCTTCTCTATGTATTGAAAAGCTACTGAATATACAAGAGGGGAATTCATAAAATTATTCAACCAATAATCACATGAGCCTATAAATATATTATATTATATTATATTATATTATATTATATTATATTGACCTATCTTAGCACTACTGATGCTGTTTTTGCTATGCCAGCCTTTGCTGCAAACTTTTAAAGTGGTCCTGAGCTATAGTTCTAGTTTTTCATTGTTTCATTCAGTGGGTTTTTTTTGTTTCTTTGTTTGTTTGTTTTGTTTTTGTTAAGTTACTTAAGGCTAACCTATGAATCATTCTAGCATAGAAAAAGGCATTTAAGAGATGAACCACTATTGGAAACCACTGCTGTGTCTACACTAGTGCTGTCAGCATTAATCTCGTTAAAATGACGTTAACATCATAACCGCATTAACGTGGCAAATCTCCGTTAGCGATTAACGCAGCTCGGCCCATGCGTGGGGCTGCACGGCGTCAACGCATTAGTGAGCTAACCACACCTTGACGCCGTGTGGAAGGAGTTCAGTGAGGCCATGGAAAAAGACTTTCAGTCTGCGGTAAAGTGATTCTGACAAACATTCAGGAGGGGAAATCATTACTCTGCTCACATGTGAATAATGCAAGTGGAGTGGTGCCGACTTCAACTGATATAGGTATTAAGGACCTCCTTAATACCATTTACACATTTTCTGTAGAGGAAGTAAAGTCGAGCGGGATGATTGATCCATCACTGGGGGCAAGTTTGCCATTCTCCTCAGCTGGAAAAGGGTGGAGTGCCCACTCCAGGTGAGGGACAAGATTCTGCCCCAAGTGGAGGGGTTTAAGTATATCAGGATCTTTTTCATGAGTAAGATGAGTAGTGCAGGTGCAGTGATGTAAACTGGTCTGTTGTGATAAGGCAACAGGCAAAGCTGTTGATTAACAGGGGATCTACATCGTGGCGATCGTGGCTCAAGAGTTAGGAGTTCGCCTTGTAATCGGAAGGTTGCCGGTTCGAGCCCCGGCTCGGACAGTCTCGGTCGTTGTGTCCTTGGGCAAGACACTTCACCCGTTGCCTACTGGTGGTGGTCAGAGGGCCCGGTGGCGCCAGTGTCCGGCAGCCTCGCCTCTGTCAGTGCGCCCCAGGGTGGCTGTGGCTACAATGTAGCTTGCCATCACCAGTGTGTGAATGTGTGTGTGAATGGGTGGATGACTGGATATGTAAAGCGCTTTGGGGTCCTTAGGGACTAGTAAAAGCGCTATATAAATACAGGCCATTTACCATTTACTCTTACCTAAGATTACAAGCTTTGGGTAGTGACAGAAAGAATGAGATCGCAGATACAAGTGACACAAGTAAGCTTTCTTAAAAAGTTGTCTGACTTCTTCCTTAGAGATAGGATAAGGAGTTTGGTTATTCAAGCAGGCTTCACAGTAGAGCTGATACTCCAGTGTGCCAAGGGTGCCTGGGTAGTGTTACAGGCAAGCATATCCTACCAGGAGCAGGCCCCAGTAGACCCAAGACACCCTAGAGAGATTATTTTTTCAGCTCGCCTGGGAATGCCCCTGGATAAGGTGGAGGGGGTGGCCCCGGAGAGGGAAATCTGGGCTTCTCTGCTCAGGCTTTTGCCCTCATGACCCAGCCAAGAATAAGTGGAAGAAAGTAAATGGGTGTATGGATGGCTGGATTATTAACTACACTGTCCAGAAAAATAATAGCGTTTATGGAATGTTAGTGATGAGGTGGTTCTTTATCATAGAACAGGTTGCATAACCAAAATCACAGTGTAACTTTGTCTTAACAACTAAGGTTGGAAATTTGACTTTTTATATTTTCATCTTGCTTTTTATGGGATATTTCATACTTGTTTATGTCTGTGATTGTTTTTAAAAAAAGAAGAACAAGTACCTGCTTAAACCTCCATTTTCCAGCAAATTGCACCTATTATTTCTATCTATCCGCTATAACACGGCAGCAGGCTAGATTTTATTATTATTTTAATCCAATATGTTGAATAAACATGACGATTAGCATTCAACTGCATAAATTTAAAGTTTCAATCATGGCTCCGTTCTCTTCTCTAGAATATTCTTATTCTTCAAATAAGCCCGAGTCCCGCCCTAAAACAGCGCCTTCCATTTATTGGGTGTTTTAGCTATCAGTAACAGTGTATTGCTCCAATTGGTCGAAACAAGAGCAAGAAGGGGGTTGTTTCCAGGAAGTGTTCAGCGTGACTCTCACAGAACAGCTTTGCTTTCTTTCTAACAGAACTTGCTTTGCTTGATTTTTGCGCCGGTCCTGATTCCGCATCTCAGTCAGTCAGCATGGGTGAAGATGAAGAAAAATATGACGGCATGTTGCTTGTTATGGCGCAGCAACACGAAGGAGGGGTGCAAGAGGTAAAGCAGTGCATCGCCGTGCTAACATGCTAAAGCTACTGTACTAACGCTAACGTGGTTAGCCTGTAAGCTAGTATGTACACCGTGCCTATAAACAGTCACAAACACGAACAAAAAATAATGTTTTAAACTGTTTTGCAAAGTTTAGAAAATGATTTTGTTATTAATAATCATGGCTTTCGTGGGCTATCTTAGCTACTGCCTGCGGAGTGTTCTGGTGAATTTGGCATACATGTGACTAAGGAGACAGCACAACTTAGCAAAAAACGAACTTAGTTCTGTTTGAGCATGTCTATTAGATGCTCCATGGTCCTGATAGAAGCTGTTAAAAGTAATGTTCGTTACAAGTAATGTTCTTACTGTAGTAATGTGACGTTGTGTCCCGGATGAGTGAAGGTTCTGGAAGAAAATGTATTTGCTAAAAGAGATCTGCTGTTATGAGGAAAAGGTGAAGGATGTGATCTGGAAACAGATGCATAAGCTAAAGCGCAACGAATGTTTGGTAACAATGGTGTATTTTAAGAGTCGTGAACAGGCAGACACCCAGCACAGAAAAGGAAGGCTCTCCCATCCAAGCAGTAATTTATTTCAGACACAAAGTCCATAATAAAGATGTAATCTGTTATATGGATTTTGTAACTTATTCTTGACCTATTTTCTATCAACAGTTAGTAAACACATTTTTCAGCTTCCTCCGCCGCAAAACTGATTTCTTCACTGGTGGAGATTCAGGTGCAGCAGAGAAGGTGAGCATTGCTGTTCGATCTATACCTCGTGTCACATTCAAGAGTTCAGTGATAAGCACACAACTCCACCCGTCCCTCAGTTTTAAATGAAATCCCTTATGTTCTTCAGCTCGTCAAGGATGCCTTTGCTCACCACAGCAAGCTAGCGCTGAAGGCCCAGAAAGAGAAGCAGATGAAACAAGAGAAAGAAAAGAGAGAGAAAGCTGAAAGAGCGGCCAAGCTTGCAGAGGAGGAGAAGAAAAAGAAGAATGACGACGGTCCAAGAATCCAGGAGCTGACAGACGAGGAAGCAGAGAAGCTTCAGACTGAGCTTGACAAGGTGAAATGCTGATTTCAAAATTTTCTGTCATCAGTGTGTCTCTGAAACGGTCAATTACACTCTGAACTGTTATGTCTGTTAATTTATGTCCGGATTTTTTATGCTAGAAAAAGAAGGAAGAAGAGAATACAGCAGCAGCAGCAGAGATGTCATCTGACAAAGCCGAGAAAGAGAAAGGCGTGAGTGAGGAGTTTGACATGTACTTCATTACTTAGTGTTGACTGAGCAGTAAAATGGGGTGCGCTTAATGTTTTGTTTAATTAACTCTTATTCATGTTCATTTTCTTTTCCTTCAGTCTGACTCTGAAGGAGAGGAGGATGAGAAGGACAAAGATAAACTGAAGCCTAATTCGGGAAATGGAGCTGACCTGCCCAACTACAAGTGGACGCAGTCCCTGTCTGAAGTCGATGTGAGTTCTTTCTGGTTTCAGCATCATGCTGGACTTCACCTCTTCTCAGCTTGTGTTTACTGAACATCTGAATGGTTCTTTGAGCATCTCTCAGCTTTCAGTTGTATTCTCACCATACGTACAGCTCCGTCATAATGTCACCTTTGCCTGAGTTTGCCAGTTGGATAGCACAATACGATGCATATTAAAACCCTCTTAATGTTTCCTGTGCATTGCCCTGTGCCTCTTTCTTTCAGGCGATGTGTTTCCTTAAGCTGCATGTGCCAGAACACATTTGTATTTGTTTTTCATCGGCCTTTGCAGAAGGGGAAGATCATGACACTTGTTATGTGAATTCTACATTATTATTCCTTCCAGCTTTATTCAGATATGCCAAGAGTGTTGTGGAAAGAGTCAGAATGCATACAGAACACTGGATAAATAAAAGTGCTGGAAGTTGTCTTAAATATCTTTTAACATTGCCATTACATTTGAGTACCACCTAATGTGTTTGGGGTTGTTATAGCAACATGCGAGAAAGTTCTGGGGCATTATTTGTACGCGACACAAGCGCAGAAATGGAGGGCGTCGACGTAATCTTATACTTCCTGCTCGGTGCGTGACTCAGACAGCACGGTGTTGTTTCTTGTGTGGCCATATTCCTCGTTGCTGGGTTTCAAGGGCAGTTTTAATTTTCATAAGGCGACACTGTCATAAGTGATCGTGCGGTACCACTGACTAGCCAATCAGTGGCATGCAATCTGTTGAAATCACATTATCAGATCTACCGAGATCACTCCAGCTCATTAGGTACTAAAAAAAGTGCTTGTTACCAGGTACTACCACTTATTGGAAAAGCCTAAAATTCAAGTTGAGCCTGACAGTTTTGAGTGGAAAAAGGTTTTATTGGAGAGCAGTGGAATTTCTTTTCTTTTTTTTCTGTGCAGATGAGAGTTTTATAAGCTTATAAGAACACATGTGCCCGTGTATAATTAAAATATTAATAATTAAACTCCTCCCACAGGTGGCAGTGCCCTTTAGCGTGAACTTCCGCATTAAGGGCAAAGATGTGGTGGTGGACATCCAGCGGCGCTCCATCAAAGTGGGCCTGAAAGGACATCCTCCAGTTATTGATGGCCAGCTCTACAACGAGGTGAAGGTAGAGGAGAGCTCCTGGCTCATCGATGATGGCAAGGTGGTTACTGTCCACTTGGAAAAGGTAAGAAGACATGTAGATGTGTGGCACACTGTGGAATTACTCAGTCAACTGGAGAGAGAGAGAGTGTGCGTCAAATCGTATTTTGATTTCAGATTAACAAAATGGAGTGGTGGAGCAAGATCGTCACTACAGATCCTGAAATTAACACCAAGAAAGTCTGTCCTGAGAACTCAAAGGTAAACATTCACACGAACTGTTTATTGTAGAAGGAACTAAAAGATTACTGACACGTGTGGTTGTTTCTGCTCCTTCCTAACTTCCTGTTGAACAGCTGTCAGATCTGGATGGAGAGACGCGTGGTATGGTGGAGAAGATGATGTACGACCAAAGGCAAAAATCAATGGGCCTACCTACATCTGAAGAGCAGAAGAAACAAGATATTCTTAAAAAGTAGGTTTCAGTGTTGGTGCAGATTTTGTGTCTGAAGGCTACAGTAGACGCTAATAAACACCTGAATAATGGAGCCGTCTACTTTTGAGCCACTCTGTGGGTAAAATGGGCACCAGTTTTTAAAATTAAAGAAGAATCCAAACAAAGCTGCAGGAGAGATGATAAAAAATGAAATATCATGAAACTAAGTTAATCACATTTTAAAGATGGCGAAAAAATTGGAAAAAAGATGGGAAAAGAATCGGTTCCCTCCATGTGAAATTGCAAAGATGTTTCTCCTGCAGGCATGTTTTGATAGTGTAGTGAAATGAACTGATACCACTGAGTAAAAAAGTTTGTAGTATACTTTGGAAATTAGCAATAAAATATAAGTAAGTATAGTCAGTGAAATTGCCTAGAAACAATGTTACAAATGGAGAGCTGAAGTAACACGGTGTCTTTCTTGAGGCAGTAATATTTAAACAGTATGTATCCCAGTAGGCTGCAGGTCCATGTGTGGTATGGTAAAGATGAAGAGTCTATCACGTTTGAATCCGTACATTAGGGAAGTTAACATGCACTTGGAGCTTTATCCACCTCCACTCTCCAACACAAAAAAATGGCACAGCCTTACTTCTGCTGGTGAGAGAGACAATCCATGAAGTTGCACTTGCTGTATTTAGAGGAAAAACAAAACTTAAGCCGCAGACACTATAAAAGATAGACTTAGCTTCTGGATCTTAAAAATTAAGCCTTAAACCTGCAATCTTTCTAATGGCCACCAGAGGGCGATACTTGTCTATGGAAATATGGCCCCCAGGCTTGATCTTTATGTGCTCTGTCACACATTTCGGCTCATTTTGAATATAAAATGAATTCAGTTGTGTCGATTTTTGTCATTGTGTCATGATGATTAACCACAAAGAGCTCATTGATTTATGAGTGCATGAACCCAGTTTTGTTTTTGTACACAAATAATAATGATATATGAAGCTTTAAATTTCACAGCAATCGGTTTAATAAATGGAAACTTTGTTTTAGGCAAACAGTGGATGGTAACAATTAACATGACACAATTTCCTGTTACTCTGTTTAAAATTAACTTAAAAGAAATAGATTGTGTACTGCTAATTTTCCTCTTATAAAAATTATATGTAGGAATTTTCCTGAGTGGGGGGGAAACAAACAAACTTCAGACTGATGTTTCAATGACTGTATGAGTCAGTGGTTCATGTGCAGCTTATTACTGTTTGTTGGGAATGACCCCTTTCCCTCCTCTGCTGTCTGCTGGAGCCCACTTCCTCTTCTAGCTTGTTAAAGCTGCCTCTGAGGATCTTGTTTAATTTTATAAAGGTTAAACAATACTACCATAGGGAGCGCTGTGGAGGTAATTGGTCTCAGAGTTTCTTTAGTGACACAAAGGTCAAATTGTGTCTGTCCAATCAAACATGTTGTGTGAAGGTGTCATCTCAGACGAAGCGTACAGCTTTGCATTCTTAGCAGAATTAAAATAAACATTCGCTTTGCAGCAGAAAACAAAGGCTTTTCCTCTGACCAGCCTGGAATACAGAAGGTTTTTAGAATAATTTCACTTCATAGAAATGTGAGAAAACAGATGTAACGTGCTCTGTTCCTTCCCAGAAAGTTTAACCAACTGTCACGATCCATAAATGAACGAATCTCCCATTCACTGACTTCACAGGCTGACTGCACCTTGCCTTCTCACCTTCCCTTTGTTTCTGACTCTGACACCTTCTGTCTCTGCAGGTTCATGGCTCAGCACCCAGAGATGGATTTCTCTAAAGCCAAATTCAGCTGAGGCTTTCTGTTGTCAGAGGTTTTAGATTCACGGTTCATGTAAATGACACCAGAGCTGACATCAGGCACCAACCAACTCCCCCTTCATCTCTCTGCTGGACATGCTTGTGCTGACGTGCATGTCTGAAGTGCATAGATTCATGTTTAAATCCAAGAGTTTGATAAATGTAACAGCAGTGTTCTTCCTTTGCATGTTGTTTCCATATTTAAAGATGTGTCTGGATTTTTTTTTTTTTTAATAAATGGATTTAAAATGTAATTGAGTTCTGAACCATCAGTCTGAAGAAGTGCAATCATAAAGCCAGGAAGCCTTTTCCTCCTCCTGCTGTGTAGATTTTGGACGCTCACGAGCTTGCAGAAGCTCGTGAGCTTGGAAAAGCCAAACGTAACGCTGCAGTTCCAGTGCATGAATTATTGGAGCTAATTTATCTGAATTTAAGGGGCGGGACCACATCTCGGAACCCCAAGCGCTACAAGCCGTTCGTTTTGCTTCGTACCCCACCCTCACCCCCTCTTTCAATTCATTCACTTCTCTAAAATGAACCTAAAATGAGGATGTGGTCCCAGCTAGTGAAATGCAGCGACATCATGCAAAGGTTGAATAAGATGTTTCATTTTCAGCCACAAGAGGGCAGTGTCTTCCTGAAACATCAGGAGAGCTATCAAAGGCGTTAAGAGTGTTAGGTAGTTTTTGAATAGAGGACAAATCCTATCAATCTGATAGGAAACAGAAGAAGATGGCACGTTAGATTTTAGCTTTAACTGTTACAACAGAGTCACTAAATAGTTAAAATCTTAATTCTGAGGTAACGGTGAATAAGGGCAGGTGTAGCCAATTACATGCAAGGTTTTTTAATAATAAAATGTTTTAAAGTTAGCTTTATTCTACCCCATTATACTTGTAGTAAATGACACATAAATATCGACTATATCTGTGACCACATACTGATTAATGAACCGGGAATTCACACTGTGATGAAAAGGTAGAGAATTCTTTAAATAAATGATTCAGTCAATGCTCATATTTGTTTGTTGTTTGCAGCCGGTGCAAAAATAAGCGTCTGTGTGCTTGAGCTAAAAAATGTTTAAAAATCAACTCTTTCATCTTGTAAGATAAAATAATTGGACTGGCTCTTATATTGCATTTTATTCACGATGCCTCACTCACACAAGCAACTTTTTTTCTGTGCTGACGTGCTGTCTAACATTCTCACGTTCACACTCGGATGGATGCATCAGAGAGCAACTTGGGGTCAGTATCTTACCCACGGGTATTCGGCATGCAGACTGGAGCAGCCATATATACATATAATTATTCTAACTAAACTCCCTGAGTATTAGATGACCTGCTCTCTGCTGAGCTACAGCCACCCTAATTATATTCTGAGTGATTGTGTTTGCAAGTTCTGATCAGTTACAGATGTTACAGAGCAGCTAAAAAAAAAGTGTTTCCACTCTTGTGTCTCTGAACTGCAGCAATCCATCATCTAACCAATCTGCCAAGTTGCACTTCTGAAGTTGTTGGGATGCAAACGGTGCTGCTGATAGCAGTGAGCAATAATTAAACATATTAAATGCATTCATTAAACCACATTGCTCTCTGAGGACTATTAGCCAGGCTATAACCAACAAGTCAAAGGCAGGCTGTCTTACTGAGACCACGCTGGATATCATGCGCCTCTGCTAAATGTTCCTTCCCTCAGGACCAGTTTGCTTACAAGACTCTTCAGCTTGTGTGACTGTCCACAGCTAACTGGACTGGGCTGTCAGGATGGTGAGAGGCTGTCAATATCACTACAGCTACCAGAGGGAACATACATTAGCTTATGCTGGTTAGCAGCTCCTCCTAATGTGTGAAATAGCTCATGTAGTTCAAAAACACTGTGCAGTCAGCAGCCTCATCAGGCCTGCTGTCTGCGGACCACAGGTAACTATGTCGGAGCTTACATTTTTGTCAGTATTTTTCCTGCAAGCTCGGTGCCCTGTAGGAAAATTACAGGGCGCTGGGCTTTCATTTATTCTGTCACGGCTGTCCAATGGTTGACTGGATGGTGTTAAAGTAGCAATCACAAAATCACAAAGTGGCCAGCTTGAATTACAAAGCACCAGGCTTGTTTAACACTTACACCAACTGTGATAACCTTTTCAGCTTTGAGGCTGATTGAAGAGAACTTTAGACAAGTTAAATAGTTTTTGGTAACTAGACCCTCCTCATTATTAATAACAGTCAAATATTCATTTGTGCTTTAAATGCCATTTTTATTCTGTTCCCAGCTTTATGTCTCCACTCTCTCCATTGTTAGTTTACACCCTGACATAGTAGCAGGTTGAATTCGATTGGTGCCATATATTTTAGTGAGAAATGTCTCTCTTCTTCTTTCTATCTAAGCCAAGTGACGTCTGAGCTCAGTCAAACTATAGACGAAGAAGAAGAAACATAATTAATCTGGAAAGCTCACTGTGACCAGTGAAGTGTGGGATTCACAAAGCTTCAGGTCACTTTGGTCGCTGGCCAGGTCCCAGTTTTTATTATTGAAAATTTGTATTACACCTATTTGCACTGCATTCACCAATCAAATTTTTAAAAATGGAGCCTATATAATACAGTGCGGTCTATTAATCAGCTGCCAGAGCTCATAATTGTATGAAAATTATTATTATCCTGATTCATTTACATATTTTTGCCTCTGCTTGTCTTTGTATATTCAATATTTATATAAATATATATTAAATATTAGCATTTTAGTTTTTGAAGTAGCTCCATCCTGGTCAAAGAAAGTCACCCTGAAGCCTGATGGGATTGTGGTTGGGTGGGGCGGCGGTAGGACTGTGCAGGGGCTGAGGGCACGGAGGAGCCAGAATCTGCTCAGCTGACAGCAATGTCTCACCAAGGTACCAGAATTTCTTCATTAACAAAGACACACAGACATCAGAGGGACGGGGTTGGGGTTCTGGGGTGGGCGAGGCGGGCGTTCTGCAAACACACCTCCTCACCGCTGCACTGACTCGCTGTTCCAGACTTGGCGACTTGTTTTTTTGGCAGCAGCCTCTCGTAAATCACCCACAAGGCCCGTAGCACAATGTGACTCACCGTTGTAGTCATGGTGTTTGTGAGCACTGTTTCACCTTCTTCCCTAAGGCTAATTGGTGGAATTATTCCTGGAAGTGGAGGATGGATACGTGAGGGTACACCAGGACAAAGATGGGATGGGATTAGGAGAGGCTGTCAGATTTTGATGCTCATGGTGCATTCATAGATGATAAAAACAAGTTTGACTTTGCCTCTTGTCTGCATCCAGCTTCTTTCTGATAAATCTTAGTTGGATCAGACTCTACACGAATAAAACCTTATAATTAGACCTCTCCGAGCCAATCCAGCATGTGGATGTGTTACTTAGAGTTCTCCATCCTCCACACCTGGGTGCTGAGCACACTCTGTAAAGCGTATTTGGAGCACACACTTCCAGGGACGGCGAGGAGGCTGATGTGCAAAGTCAAACTCCAATTGTCAATTAGCAAAGGCCAACACAGGCTGCAGGCTCGGGTGTACAGAGCAGATCAGCCATCGTGGAGGACAAAGGCTTCAGTCAGCAGAGGGTCCTCTGGCCAACACACACACACAAACACACACACCTTAACTGAGAAGGCAGAGAGGGCCACTGAGCCCAGCAGGACCTGTTTACCACTCAGACTGAGCAAAGACCAACAGCAAACATCCTCCAACTGCTCATAAACACACAGACACACACACACTGAAGATGAAAATAAGGGTCCAGTGAATTTTTGCTATTTTTTTATTTGTTTGTTTAATTTGTTTTGTTTGAAAATATATAAATACTGTACACAGATAAGAGTCAGAGTGTGTTTCATGCTAGTGTTGTCAAATATAACCATAAATCTTCACAAAATGTCTGTTTTTTACTGCTCCAGTGAGAAAAATGTCTAAAAACATGTCAAAGTGTCAAATGACATTTTGACAAAGCTAATTTACAGCTTTATAAATCAATATGATCTGTTGCATATACTAAAGTCGGCTTAAACATGTATGCATTCTGTCCAGGAAGTGGCTCGTTGTGTCTCACCTGAAGAGAAATATCACCTGATCCTGTAGCGCTACAGTCTTTTAATGTTTTTTACCTTCTTTCTTTGGTTTTCCGACTCCACCAGCTCAGCTTCTCCAGATGTCTGATCACCTGCTGCTGGAATATAACATATTTATAAGACCAGTAAAGTTCTTGTCTCCTCTAGGAGCTTACTTTACACTTTTAGCCCATTCCAATGTGGCTGATAGGCAACTTGATGATGTCATAATATATTGTGCATAACTATAAACTGTCAAATAAAAATTATACAATGCCTTTCTTAGATGTTATAGGTGCATAAAGGTATGAAACATCTAATTTTAGCACGTTGCTCGGTAATTGCAAGGCAACATAATGAGATTTGATACAGATGAGAACCTTCAGAGACCTAAGATGTGCTAAGTTTGGTTGCTCAGTTCCTGATCGTTCCTGAAAGTTCACGGTCAAAGAAACAAACAAACACACAGAAACACAGATATTGTGTATTCATGGACACAGCGTAGGAGGATGTGCAAAGGCTTGGAGGACTGTTATTATTATTAATTTTATTAGTAATAGTTGTAGTGGTAGTAAAATTAGTATTAGTCGTAGTATTAAATCCTTCATTTAAAAATCAGTCAATGAAATGAAATCTGTATTTTCTTTCAAGAGAGCTCTGTGTACAACAAATACAGCTTTAAAATAGATAATACAATAAATACACAATAGATTTTCAGTATTAAGGAAATGTTCAAGAAGTATTTGTGATCATAAACATAACCCTTTAAATACTATAATGAAATAAGAGAAAACAGCTTTATATGTTTGTAGCTTGTTAAATTTGTAGGCAGCAGAATCACTGAACTCAGTTCCTCTAAGTTCAGTGTAAATGAGAAGTGCAGCTAATGTGAGAGTGTGTGTTTAAATAAAATAAGAGAGCAGGATTAAGTGGGCATTTATGAAATATAGCCAAGAGATGAAGATGCATGAACGTAAATAATCTACTGCAGACAGTAAACTTTGTAACAGTTTTATGCGTACGTATACAGAAGTCAAATTTGATCTGGATTTATTTCCACACTTCATATTATATGAGAGCTGCTGCTATGACAACTCAATTTCCCTCTGCGATGAATAAAGTCTCTCTGATTCTGAGTCTGGCATCAGGTATTTCAGATACACAACTTAAGTTCTGTGA